TCATGGATAAAGTTTCTCAAATTTTTTGGGCATGATTTCAATCTAAAATCGACTTCTTAACATTTAAACTATTTTTATACAGAGGTTGTTCAGTAGAAATCATAATTATTTCAATTCAAATTACTTCATTAGTCAGTGTTACTCAAGCTAACATGAATTGGAAGTCGACATGGATTAACAGTCCAGAGCATGACGGATACAATTTTACAAAGTTTAATAGCATTTCAAATTTAGACATTTTCATGTTCCACGTAGATCTTATGTAGCATTCGTTCTTTCTTTTCTTTTTCTTTTTTTCAATTCGCATAGACATATCCTGTTAGTTTCAGTAACATCCCATAACATAATGTCCAGAATTGAAATAATAATGATGTTTGGTAACTTGATAGCAAGAATTTTTAAGGTCAGATGTCCTAATTGATATTTTTGTCTAAGTTTGATGACCTCGAAACAAAAATTTTCAAGCTTTGGAGAAAGAGACGGCATTTCGGATAAAGTGGGACCCTATATATTACTCTACAATCAGAATTTCATGAATTCCTGAATCTTTATCGATAATAATGCAGTAATATGTTGTACCTTCGAAGTCTACTGGAGATTTCTTGCGTACAACGTATTTGAAAAGGATTGCAAAAGAATTGCGTCGCATAGGAATTTGAAACCACCAACGGTACTTTTCTTTGTCTACCACTAGACAAGGACGAATAACGGAATTTTAATTGATTGACTGCTGGCCTTCTTGTGGCCAAGTTGGCGTTATTGGGATCCAATGTGCTTAGAATAATTCTTCTCAAACAAACCCAACTGGCAACGTGTGTCTCCCCGAAAAAACAAGGCCTATGTGATCTTGTTTACGATTTTTTAGGGGATCACTCAAGGAGCACGACTCCATGTGCTTATGCCAACTGGTCAAATGACTTTTTTTTTAATGATAAATTAACTTACAAGATTTAGACAATATAGATTGATTAAAATTATATTTATTAGTTTGAGTACTTGAAGAGATTTAAGAAAATATCTAATATTTTTTTCAAAATTTTCAATTAGATTACAATGTGAAGAATTTTAATAGGTATGATCTTTTATAATATGTTCAATATTCTAAAAAAACGTAAAATCTGGGTAGCCGTGAAGGTCAAGTTTTAAACTTTACAAACCTAGGCGTAAAAGATAGTTTTCTTATTTTTATATTATTTTAAATTTTTTATTATTCTAAAAATCATTTAATAACTAAAATAATGCATACCAAACATTTAAAATTGTAAAGTACTAAATTTAATTAATAGTTCCTACAATCAATAAATTATACAACTTTCAAATTTTCGAAAGCAAAAATTGAAGTATTTTTCATTATTTCAACTTTCAATTAAACAAGTCCTGCTCAATAGAATTATGGAAACACATGTATACTTTCAAAGTTTTCAACAAAAACAATAAGTCTCAAAATCATAATTGTATATTATTGATAGAATTGTAGTTTAAATTTTATCTAACTTTTTATTGAATAAAGTCGTTTTTTACTTTTGTGCAGATAAAGTCTTTTAAAAACTTAAAATAAAAGTCAAATAAAAGGCTTTTAAAAAAATATAATATTTAATAAAGCGTTCCTAAGCTTGGATGGATTATTGACATTTTATTTGATGGTTAGAGGTGAACTAAAAGCTAAGTAGTAGGAATTTAAAGGAAAGAAAAAAATATTCTCGAAGGAAAACTACAAAAAAGGAAATTCATTTTGTCGTTTAAACGAAAAAGTAGATTCTTAAGAACCCAACTTGCCTTTTCCCCTTGAATTTGAACTCTTACGCATTTATGCCTAGTCGTGTATTAAGTGATCAACTTGACAATTGATTGCGTAATTTTGCGCTTACCGAAACTCCACGTCTCGTGCCTACGTGCGCCTTTTAAAATATTGAATATCTTAGCTATAAAATCAAGAAGCAAAAGGTGTCAAAATGTAGGTGTTCAAATCCATGAGTCCTCTTAGAACGGGTCCTAGCAATCCATTATTTAGAAAATGAAAATATAAAAGGTGAGAAAGAAGGTCAATTTTTTTGGCAACTATTATAATTATATTTTTAATAGAGGATCACATGCACAGGACTATCTCTTCCCAAAACAAGGTGTTACTCGTGAGGATGGTAGTAGCATTAAAGGATGTGGTTCTTTGTATCATCAATTCACTTATTGTAGGGGGAGTTAGCTCCCATAGTTCACTTCGTTCCCTTCAAAGCTCAGTGCTTTCTATGGAAGCCATTGGTGCTTTTGGATTCAACCAACCTTTTTAATGATTATATAACTCAACAATCAATAAAGTCGTAATGGTAAAAATAAAAATAAAAATGCATTTTCTGGACTCGTGATCTAGAGTTTTTAGGAGAAGGATTCTTCAATAACCAGGATCATATCCAAAAAAAAAAAAAATCATGATTTTCAGTAGATATTGTTTGAACCATTTTATAAATTACTTATTCTAGATATAATATAAATAATTATTTATGTATTGTTCGGTATTTAGTTTCAGAGTTAAGGATTCTAAGTTGTAGCCTTGGAACTCTTAACTATAACGATAGTTGCGATGCAATCGGTTCAATAAAATAATCGAGAATCGAACTAAATTCAATCCAATTACATAGTATTAATTTCTTATTAAATCGGTAAACATTAAACTGGTGAAGTGACCACAGTTTTGCCATTTCTTAAACTATTGTTATTATTTTTTATTTTTAAAAGGATATTAACTAAAATTCCACCTGACCAGCTGTTTATACAGCCCATCCACTTAGT